AAGAGTAATAGATCCAAAAAAGAAAAAGGATCAAAGCATAACAACAATAATAATAATAAAAAAATTAACAAAAAAACACACAGAAGACAGCGCAAAAACAAACTACTAAATGATCAGACAGCAATTAACAAATTGGCAGGAATAAGTACTTACTATCCATAATTTTTAAATATAAAGTCTAATTATCCAATAAAAACACATTGTTATAATATAAATGTTCCCTCCAAAATTTGTTAAAATTTAATCCCCATTGTTACAAAATTAGAAGACAGACATTTAAGACCTACTGGCGTTCACGGTGGCTCACGCCTGTCATCTCAGCATCCCAGCACTTTGAGGCCGAGGCGGGTGGTCACGAGGTCAGGAGATCGCACCTTCCTGGCTAACATGGTGAAATCCCGCTCTCTACTAAAAATACAAAAAGCCAGCCGGGCGTGGGGTGGCGGGCGCCTGTGGTCCCAGCTACTCTGAGACTGAGGCGGAGAATGGTGTGAACCCGAGAGGCGGAGCTTGCAGTGAGCTGAGATCGTGCTGCAGTCCAGCCTGACAGAGCAAGACTCCGTCTAAAAAAGCAAGACTCCGTCAAAAAAAAAAAAAAAAAAAAAACACACAAAAACAAAAACAAAACCGGCACTGTGGCTCAAGTCTATAATTCCAGCACTTTGGGAGGCCGAGGCGGGTGGATAACGAGGTCAGGAAATCGAGGCCAGCTTGACCAACATGGTGAAACCCCGTCTCTACTAAAACTACAAAAATTAGCAGGGCGTGGTGGTGAGCACCTGTAATCCCAGCTACTCGGGAGACTGAAGCAGGAGAATCGCTTGAACTTGGGAGGCGGAGGTTGCAGTGAGCTGATATTGTGCCACTGCGCTCCAGCCTGGGTGACAGAGCAAGACTCTATCTCAAAAACAAACAAACAAACAAAAACAAAAAGCAAGCAAACAAACACACAGTTTACTAGGCCATGAGGGCTCTACTCTCATGAATGAATTAATGTCATTATTTCAGAATGAATTAGCTGTCATGACAGTGGTTCCATTATAAAAGCAAGCTCTGGGTGTACCCCTTCTGTCCTCCTTATGCCTTTGACCATTTTGTGACGTGGAAATATGATTCTACCAGATGGCAATGGTACGTTCTGGACTTTCAGCATCTAAAGAAATGAGCTAAGTAAACTTCTATTCTTTATAATCCACCCACCTCTGTGATATTCTGTTATTTATGCAGAAAATGAACTAAAATATCTACAAATGTTCTAAAGAGATTAACAAATTTACTAGTATATTTTATAAGAAAATTTTTTACATTTAAGGCACATATTACTGGTCGAATAATACAAAAAGAATATACTATGCCAATAATAACTAAAAGAGTATATTAGTGGCTATATTTATATCAGACACGTATAGGACTTCTAGAAAAAAATCTGTCAGAGATACAGAGAAGTTGATCATATAATGATAACAAGCTGATCAGTCAAAAGGCTATAACCATATATGCACTCCAACATTGAGCACATAAATATATAAACATATGTATATATGTATATAATATAATAATATTATGTCTATATAGTATCCATAATACTTCATATTTTATAGATGACTGTAGGAAAAAACCAGACCATTATTATCATAATAGAAGATGTTATTACTCTACTTAAAAACAATGTTTTAAGTAGTAAGAAAACAATGTAATTCTTGCAAAGCACTATAGAACAAGTGCACCTAATGGGTGATTAATACAATATTTCATCAAACAGCATTTGAATACATTCTTCTTGGGCACATGGAATATTATCCAGAATATAATGTGTATGTTGGGCCAACAACAACAACAACAAAATCTCAAAACTTAAAACATTGAAATTACATGAACTTTAAATTACAGTTTTTAAAACTAGAGATCAATACAAAAAGTTAAAAACTCACAAATATGTGGATATTAACATATTTCTGAAAAACAAATAGGTCAAAGGGGAAAAGAAAAGAGAAATCAGAAAGTATCTTGAGAAAATAGAAACAAAACACAACATACAACAACTTCTGGGGTGTGAAAAAGCAGTTCTAAGACAAAAGTTTACAGTGATATATTTCTATAAGAAGAAAGAAAGGTCTTAAATAAACAGGATGATTCCTTTGACTTGCAAAAAGCCTTGAAAAAAACTAATTATTCCCAATGTTAACATAATACACAAAATAATAAAAGAAAGAAAGAGATTCAATAAAAACTTGAAAGACAACAAAAAGATAAAAGCAGAGAAATAATTTACATAAAAAGTTCTTCATCAAATTAGAAATAATTTAAAAAACAAGAAGAGTAAATTTTTTTATTTTCAAGTTGAAAGATTAAATCTCTTATTTTTATTTTGTGTTTAAGTTGATAATAAACAGGTTCCAAAATTTTATCCTGAACTCATAGACATTCTATTTCAGCAGGGTTTGTATTCCGGGCACCTGAGGTGTGGCCTTGGGTTTGTGTAAAGAGGCTTGTGGAGAAGAAAAAGCAGACTAAGAGACAGTGATACAAACCCAAGGTAGGGGATGGTGCACAGTTGGTGGAAAGGACTGGTTAGTGCTATAGACACTGCCTGCACAGGGTAACTCTGGATTTCTAAATGTGTGTGTGTGCAGGCAGATAAGATGGACAGAGGTTGGAGAAGCCTAGGCTGCTGGAGAAAAGAGGTCACTGGTGCAGATGCAAGATCTGGGCATAGAAGTAAGCCATGAGTCCACTGGGCACTTATGTACCATATTAGTGGAAAACTCTAGAAGCAGAGGTTCTGTCAGCACAGTTCCCGGGAGGGTGAACTCCTTGTCATGGGAGAGGGCTAGCTACATCATTGCCTAGTGTGCATGTGTGTGGAGTGTGCAGGAATCACATTATAGCAGCAGGTGAGAGAGTCTGCCTCAGAACTCCATCTCTTTAATCCTCAGTCTCCCTCTGACTGTGTGGATGAGACCTGTTATCACAAGACGATTCACATTGTGACAGCAGGTGTAAAAGAATAGAGTGTTTATTCCCAAAGACTGGCAGTATACCTCTCCAGTCGAGGCTGCGATGTCTTTGTTCTAACACCAAACACACGGAGCTCTGTTGAACACTGAGGCAATTCATCAACAGCAACTGTGAGTTTAATATCTTAATTCTGACACCACCCAGAGTCGGCATGACCACAAGTCTGTGGACTCAGTCCCACAACACTGTCCCCACTCCACATGCCTGTCACAACCAATACGGGCACGTCTATGTATCTGAGCAGCTATCTATAAATCATAAGCTCCCATAACCCTCTCCGTCAAGTTTAATAATTAATACAACTACTCAAAGAACTTGACAAAACATTTCACCTATGTTTGCCAGGTTATTACAATAAATACAATTCCGAAAAAGCCAAATGCAAAAAATGCATACAGCGAAGAAAAGTAGCAAAGAAAGACAGGGTGAGTAGTGAGTCCTGGTAAAGTGGTGACGTTTAAGAAAACTCTCTAATTCTTTGTATTCTGTGAGACCAGCTTACTGCAAAGAAACACCTTTACCATTGTTAGCTAGATGGTACATCCTCTTTTAGATATCACAGATTCACAGATTCTCCATATCCCCATTTGTTCCTCACAAACAATTAAATACTTTTGTCTTCAGAGTTCAGAAGGAAATACTTGTTATGCACTGTTTGCTTCTTGTTTCTTTTCCCCCAGGCCCCTGGCCTCTGCTCCACCTTCCAGTCTGAGTAAACACACAACCCTCTTTATGCTCCTCTGCCAAGAACAGGCTGATTTCAGGGTGAAACCTTCTCTAATCTTGAATGGATTTTGTCACCCTCCATTGTGCCCCCTTCCTCTCCCACTTTCTTTCTAATATACCTTGCTCCTCCATTTCCCAAAGACAGCTCTTCTGTCTAATATTTTAGATGTTTGCAGATATTATGCTTGGTGCTTCCACCATTGCAATATTCCTTTAGGTTAAAGTCTCTGAATTTATTTTATTTGGAAATATCTAGAAACAGCCCCAGGACAATAATAATTACACCTCACAGAGAACATCTCGGTTCTCCTCCCATCTCAACTCTCACTGCATCTGCCTGTGGATCTCCACAGTTGAGAAGGCGACATACACTTAGGCCCAACTCACAGGCACTGTGATAAATCTTATATGTGAGCGCCAAGCTGAAAGGAGAGATTTTGACTTCAGCCAGCGTTTGAGCAATGGGTAAGGTCCTGGGTCTTCTACTTGTATGAAGGTCAGAGGATTATAAAACCCATGCAAGCTGAATATACCCCTTGAGTGGTACAGAGAAGGTTGTAACAGGACCCAGTACACAGATGAGATATAGAGACCTGTATGGCCACACAACCAAAAGTAGAAATTGTCACATGCCCACATGTACATAACCCACAACTGAGCTTCTAAGCCTCACACCCATGGGCAGTCAGAATTTGGAGTTGTGACTCTCACAGGTGGATTCAGTCCACAGGTGAAATGGTGACTCTCCCACCAAGATTCCGTACAGCATTGAGGCTGTGACTTCACCAGGACACAGCGAGAAGGGCTTGGTGGCTCTCACGTGAGGATGCAGTCCACTGTTGGGATTGTGACTCACAGGTACTTGGACCCAACACATAGGAGTTGTTGACTCTCCTACCTGGAGTGGAGAAATGTGTGGGTTTGGGGGTCTCATTACTGGTCTTCCCACAGGTATAATTGTGACATTAAGATCTAGAACCTTAGTGATTTGACAGTGCTTCTGGGCTCAGCACAGAGATATCTTGTGACTTATACCTGTATAAACACCCAGGTGATGTGGGATGATTGCCCAGACACTTCCTCAAAGGAATTGTGATATATCTCTCTACCTTCACCTAATCTTTCACCTGACCCTGCTCACAGGTAAGGTTATAACATATTGCTAAGCCTAGTACTTAATGATGTGACTGTCCGATCCTGTTTGTGCCTCTGCCTCAAGAAGCATTGTGACATATCACTGGGCTAAGCAACAAGGTAATGTTGCTTATGTGTCAGTCTGTCTGGGCCATGTGCACAGAGGGCATTGGGAAATATCTCTGACCAATCACTCAAAAGAAGTGACTCTCCTCACTTGCCTGGACTCTGCTCACAATAGAGATTTTCACAAATCACTGGGTACAGCACCTAGGTGATGGGGCTCTTCTTTCCTGGGCTCTTCCATCAGAGAAGATTGTGATGTTTTCTGAGCCCAGCACTCAAGTGAGGTGACTTGTCTCCCTGGGCCCTCCCACAGAGAGCATTGTGAACATCTTTGGGATCATCACCTAGGTAATGTGAATCGCCTCTGCTTCATGGGCTTTGCACTCAAAAACGCCAGACTTTTCATGGGAAGCAGCACCTGAGTGATTTGACTCTATTGGATGGGGGGCTGGGATCTGCCAACAGGAATAATTTTTACATATTGCTCGGCTAAACCTCTGCTAATAGGACTCTTTCTCTCCTATCTGGGTCCTCCTTACAGTGTGTTTCGTGTCATATCTCTGGGCTGGAGACGGAGGAGTTGAGACTCCTTCCCTTGGCACCACCCAAAGGGAATATTATTTACATATCCTTTGGGCCAGCCACCTAGGTGATGTGACTCTCCTCTCTTACCTGAACCTTTACAGTTGGGATTGTAATGGCTTGCTGGGGCCAGCACCAGCTGGGATGCTATTCTTCCCAGGGCCCAGCCCACAGATGAAATCGTGGCATATCTCTGGGCCTATCACTCAGGTGATGTGGTTCTGCTCTTCTGCCTGGACACTTTCCACAAGAGGAATTGGGACATATTGCTGGGCCCAGCTCCCTGGTGATGAAACTGTCCTGCCTTTACGAGCAGGGGCATTGTGACATTTCTTGGGCTAAGCAGTCAGTGATAGATCATCTGAATGGACCCTGCTTCAAGACAGGATTGTGACCCATTGCTGGGCCGATCATGGGTGATGTGTTTCTGCTCTGCTGCCTGGACTCTACAAAGTAAGAATTGTGACATACAGCTGACTCCAGCACCCAGGTGATGTGACTTGGTGGGGTCTTGGTCCCTGCTCACAGGTGAAATTGTGACATACATATAGTCATAGGTTAAAGGTGAAAATGATGACTCTATACATGGGCTTTATCCAGCCAAGAGAAGAGATTTGACCCTCATAGCAAGGGTTAGGCAACAGGCATGGACTCAATTTCCTCACTTTAACAAACGTCATAGTGTATTATGACACCAAAGCACATTGTATAAAGCTCCTCAGGTGGTACAGAGAGAGTGTCAAAACAGGACCTGCACAAAGGTGAGGTTGTGACTTACAGTGTACATCCCAGGTGGACAGTTAGGAATTGCCATCTCTCACACATGGACAGTACTCAGTGGTGAGGTCCTAAATCTCACGTGCAAATGCAATTCAGATTTGGAATTGTGACTGTCATACATAGATGCAGCCACAGGTGAGACAGTGACTCATTTTTGAACCCATCTCACAGGTATAGCAATCAAACTTATACCTGGGTCTAGTCAACAAGAGAAATTCACAATCCTGGACATTTTCCAGCTAAAGATATTAGAGTCAAACCCTCTTGTGGGTGGAGTCCAACTATGCAAGTTAGTCACAACAGTGGAGTGAATCAGTGCACGAGAGCCCAAAGCTCACCTGAAGACTGTGTTTAAATAGGAAGCACAGTCCTAGATGTTCTAAATCCTGGTCTTGGAGTTATCATCCCATCTGTGGATTGGATTGCCTTATGAGGTTCACAATTCCAACTTTATAGCCTTGTGGCCTGTGATCCAGAATCTCAACAGTGGGCTCTGTCTAAGTGTCGGAGGGTTACAGTCCTTACTTTTGACTGGATGTGCATACAACTGCCACAATTTCACCTGTGTGCTGAACTACATTATGGCATTTTTTTGTAGTAATTTGGATGGCTTTATACAATGTGCACGATGGTCACTACACCATGACCAACCTAAAGTTGAAGACCCAGGACCTTCATTGTTGCCCTAAGACTAACTACAAGAGTCACAATGTTTCTCAGGCATGAGTCATCATCCCACCTGTAGGCTGTGCTCATGTATATTTCACAATTCCAATTGTGGGGAGAGACAAGGCACCAGAGTCACATCACTTGGATGCTGGCCACAGATATGTCACACCAAGTAATTTTAGGACAGGGGATCTGGCAGCAGAGGAGAACCTCATCACCTAGGTGATTGGCTCAATGAGATGTCAAAATCTCCCTTGGGGAGCAGGGGCACCAGGAGGGTCTTATGACCTAGGTGCTGGAAACATCAATGTGTCACATTGCCCTCTGTGGGCAGGGCCAAGGCAGGACACCTGGGAGCTAGGCCTGGTGATATGTCACAAATGCCTCTTGGGGGCAGGTTCAGGTAGAAGGCAGAGTTACATCACCTAGGTGATAGGCCCAGAGATATTTCACAATGCCTTCTCTAATTAGAACCCAGGGACAGAAGTTGGCATCATTTGCATTAAGGGCCCAGTGATATGTCACAATCTTAACCAAGGGCAGGGCCGGAGCAGGAAAGGAGAGTCACCACTTGGAGGATTTCCCAGAGATATATCGCAATTTCTGAGGGCAGGGTTTGCTGAAGAGGCACATAAATAAAGTGCATGGTCCAGGTATGATTCACACCCCAACTGTACACTGGGCCCAGGCAGGAAAGTAAAATTAACCAGCTGCTGGGAAAAGGTGTATGTCACAATCACACCTCAAGAAATGTTTAGGGATAAGATTCAAATCCCACTAATGTCCTAGTCACTTATGACAGTCAACAACAATATACCCTTGTGAGCGTGTCTCAAGTACTCAAGTTACAACCTCAACAGTGGATTTTCATCTGTGCCTGAGAAGCTGAACTCTTCTTGCAGACATTGTCCCAGTAGGGGGAGTCGCAGCCCACAGGGGTGCTGAATCTTGGTGTGAGAGTCACCATCCTACCTGTGGACTACATCCATGTATGAGTCATAATTCCAACTTTGACTGCCTCTGAGTGTGAGATTCAGAATGTCATAAGGAGATTGGGTTTTTAGGGAGGGTGAGAATTCTTACTGTCAGCCGGGTGTGCATATGACAGTCACAATCTCACCTGCTTGTTGGTCCATGTTATGACACTGTTCAAAGCACCTGATGGTTTCACATGGCATATGTGCACAATCTGCTTTGAGATTTTTGTGCCTTCCCAGGTATACATTACAACCTCAAATATATTATGTCCATTGCCTTAAGACCAGGCATGAGCGTCAACATCTCTCCTGCTTGTTGGGTCCAGGTATGAGAACCATTTATGTTCCTGTAATCTGGGTACAGAAATGGGTCAACATCCCTCCTGTGGCTCAATCCACATGTGACAGGCACAATTCCAACGTGTGGACTACGTCTGTCAGTGAGGCTCAGGAACTCACTATTCTACTCTGTCCATGTGTATGGGTGACAATCGTAACAGTCAGCTGGGTGTTCTTACAACAGTCACAATCTCAGCATTGTGCTAATCCTATTAAGACACTCAATGTACCATCTGAGGGCTTTACATAATATGTATGCATGCGAGGTAATCAAGCCTGTTATTATTATTTTTTAAAATACAAAACCTAGGACTTTATGTTTTGGCTTATGGCTACCTATGAGTCAACAGTTTCCTTATTGGCTGGGTGCAGGTATAAGAGTCATCACTGGGCCTGTAAGCTGGGTACAGATATAACTCACCATCCGATCTTTGGCCAGATTCACATTTGACCGTCAATATTCCAACAGTGTATTGTATCCTCTTATGAAAGTTAGGACTCTACCAGTAAGTTTTGTTAATTTGTGAGGGAAACAATGCTAATTGTCATCTGGGTGTGCCTATTGAGTCACAATTTTACCTCTATGGTGGCTCCTGAAATGACACACTCTATATCACTGAAGGGCTTTATAAAATGTGCATGACCATTGTAATGTTGTGTGACCTTTCTACATGTAGAAGACCTGGATGCTTACCTGATTCCCTAAGCCTAGCTATAAGTCAAAATCTCTTCTATTGGTGGGGTCCACATATAAGAGAGTCTTCACTATACCTGCGGGCTGGACTCCACTATATGTGACAATCCCACTCGTGGACAAAGACTGGAGTGAGAGTCACATCACCCAAGTGCTGGGCCAGTGATATCAGTATTTTTCCTGTGGGCAGGGTCCTGCAACAAAATGGTATCTTCTGGGTGCTAGGCAAAAGCAATAAGTCACAATCCACCCTGTAAACATGTTCCAGGCAGAAGACAGTCATGTCACCTTGGTGATGGTCCCAGCAATATGTCATCATTCCTCCTGTAAACAAACTCAAGACAAAAAGAGTCACATAATATAGGTGATGGGCCCAATGATATCTTTATGACTTTCGTGGACTGGCCCAGGCAGAAAGGAGAGTCACATTACCTAGGTAAGATTGGCCCATGAGATATGTCACTATTTCCCTGGATGGCAGAGTCCAGGCAGGAAAGTCACATTATCTACGTGCTAAACCTAAGTATATCTCACATTCTAAATTGTAGGCTGGGCCTGAGCAAACGTATATGTCACAAAGCCACAGCTGTAAATGTCCAGAGATGAAATTTGCAATCTTTCATATTCCCCAGCTTCAGATTCAGAGGCAATAGTTCCTGTGAGTTGCACCCTACTGGCAGGTAACAACCTCAACAGTAGACTAAGCCCATGCATGAGAGTCCCAACCTCACCTACAGTGTCCCAGTAAAGAATAAAAACATCACAAGGTGCTGAATCTTGGTCCAGAGTTGCCATCCTTACCTGTGCATAGAATCACACATGACAGAGACAATGCAAACTTTTGACTGCCTCTAGATGTGAGATTCAGAACTTTAACAGTGGGCTGTGTCTATGTGGAAAGTGACAATACTGTTGGCTGGAGTGCATATAAGAGTAATAATTTGACCCGGTATTTTGGGCCCTTTTGTGATGCTTCCTCTATACCACCAGAGGGAATTATAAACATAAGAGCCGTAATACTTTGAAACCTGCATGTGTGGTGGACACACGATCTTACATTGCTGCTTGGCCCAGACAGGATGAGGCTAATATCTCTATTGGCTGTGTCCAGGAATGAGATTCATCAATGTGCCTGTGAGTAGGGTCCAGAAATAAATCACCATCACACCTGTGGCCACCACAATGTCAACTGTGAACTGCATGCACAAAAGTTTTAGGACCTCAGCAGGGCACTGCCTCTGTGTGAGGGTGACAACGTCAACTTTGACTAGATGTGTATATGAAAGTAACAACCCCAATTGTGTGCT